CCTCGGTCAGCCCAGGCCATGGTCAGCCCAGACCACGGTCAGCCCTGACATGGTCAGTCCCACCTTGGCCAGCCCAGACCACGGTCAGCCCAGACCACGGTGAGCCCCGCCACGGTGAGCCCCGCCTCGGTCAGCCCAGACCATGGTCAGCCCAGGCCACGGTCAGCCCAGACCACAGTCAGTCCCACCTCGGTCAGCCCCGCCACAGTCAGCCCCGACCATGGTCAGCCCCGACATGGTCAGTCCTGCCTCGGTCAGCCGCGCCACAGTCAGCGCCACCTCGGTCAGCCCCAACCACGGTCAGCCCAGACCACGGTCAGCCCTGACATGGTCAGTCCCACCTCGGTCAGCCCAGACCACGGTCAGCCCAGACCACGGTGAGCCCCGCCACGGTGAGCCCCGCCCCCTGCCTCCGTCAGCCCGCACCACGGTGAGCCCCGCCTCGGTCAGCCCAGACCACGGTGAGCCCCGCTTCGGTCAGCCCAGACCACGGTCAGCCCCGACATGGTCAGTCCCACCACGGTCAGCCCCGCCTCGGTCAGCCCCGACCACGGTCTGCCCAGACCACCTCACGAGAAGCCCTGAGGAACCCTCGCTTTCCCTGGAGTTTGGTGCTGTTTATTTTAGGTTTTGCCATAGCACATATGTTTCCTGGTGAGAGACAGAGACAGAGAGAGAGTGAGAAGGCACCCCTGGGGAGATGCCACCCGCAGTCCCTCCTCCGTCCTCAGGATTACGGGCACGCACCTCGGCGTGATTTTCACGCTGCCAGGTCTGACGCTACAACCGCGTGGACCACAGGGGAGCGTGGCGCCTTAGTCACCACGCCACCTGCTGCCCCACGGGCCTCTGCGCAGCTGCGGCTGAGCCGTGAAATGTCGTCACGGAAGTGTCACGTGTGATTATGAGACCCTGTGACCCAGCCATCATGGGTGACATGTCACGGTGCCCGGAACGCGTACGCAGGTCTCACACGGGGCACGGAGTCCTGCAGTCGGGTGCCGAGGGAGGCCCTCCCTCGAGGAGGGCGGTTCTGACAAAGCGTGGGAAACGGACCCCAGGTCTGGTGGTCCCGGACTGCGACCCTGCTCCGGGAGTGCCTGCCTCGTGACGAGCCGACCGCACCGGCTGCGTGTCGCCAGTTGGGCGTGAGGTGAGCCTGTCTCCGACAGCGCCCTCCCCTGGCTACACGCTCGAAGCACGCCCCTCCGCAGGGCCGCCACGGCGGCGAGCACAGAGGCAAGGCTGGCTTTGGGCCGGCCACCTCTGAGGCCCGAGCACGGGAGGACGAGGCCCTCTGGGCCCTGCCGTGGCACTCATGCACCGGCCGCAGCCGGCCCCTTGAGAGCCTGCGTAGCCGCGCTCCGGGGAGCGGCCGAGTGCACACGGAGCACGGCAGTGCAGACTGTGGCCAGGCCTGGGACACGCCCGTGCCGTGGTAGCCATGTAAACACGTGACACCGCCAAGAACAGGAGAGGACGCAGAACTGTCTCCTCCCCAAAGAGCTTTTGCGTGTGACTCCGAGGTTTACTGCGACACAATGAGATGTATTGTACAGCTCACGCTGGAGGCTTTCACTTGAAACACACGAGGTTAGCAATGACAATGCAGCACGCAGGCCCGTCTTCAGATGGGCTCATTCCCACTGATCATTTACGAGGGGGCAGTCTGGGAGGCAGGGACAGCGGTGTTACAGGGGTGTGCGCTACCTTTACAGACAGGCGGGGATTTGGCACCTCCCTGTTCGCAGGCCACTCTCCCTGCTACACTGCTTCTAGGAACACAGCCCTCCTTAACCGCGAGAGTGGCCTGGGGCTGGACGCAGTGTCCTTCCTACACCAGGCCCCGCGTGGGCCACAGCCCACGGAGCCTTCAGGTCACCGGGGTCAGCCTGAGTTCTACGAAGCTGCGTGTCTGGGGGGCTCTGGCTCTCACGGCCACTCTGTAGCCCCAGCCCGTCTGTGTGCTGCGTCCACGCAGGGCCAGGGCTGCCTCTCACTGCTTGTGGGTGTCCCTGCGCTTTCTTCCCAGGAATGCGAGGGTGTCTGGGTCCTCAGGGTGCCTGGAGGGGCCAGGCTGCCTGGCAGGGCGAGCGTGCCAGCCCCGC